CACACACACACACACACACACACACACACACACACACACACACACACACACACACACTTGTTTTAGGGGATGCCAAAATTTGGCAAAAATATTACAACCTGTTCTGATGTAATTAACTCCTCAAAAAACTTCTTGAAATCATTGTGGTTATGAGAACAGTACACTGAAGCTACTAGCTTGACCCCTAAACTAAGTTTACTTCCCTCTTTTTTAGAGTTCACAAAGGAGCATATAGGAGGAAGTGCATGCAGTTTTCCAAAGCAAATATGTGACCCTGGACCACAAACCCAGTCATAAGTAGCACGTTCGTAGCAATAGCCAAAAATGGGTCAAAATTATCGATTTTTCCTTTATGCCAAAAATCATTAGGATATTAAGTAAAGATCATGTTCCATGAAGATATTTTGTAAATTTCCTACCGTAAATATATCAAGCATGTATTATAATTATTAATATGAATTGCTAAGGACTTCATTTGGACAACTTTAAAGGCGATTTTCTCAATATTTTGATTTTTTTTGCACCCTCAGATTCCAGATTTTTAAATAGTTGTATATCGGCCAAATATTGTCCTAACAAACCATACATCAATGGAAAGCTTATTTATTCAGCTTTCAGATAATGTCTAAATCTACATTTTTAAAAAATTGACCCTTATCACAAATTATATAATCTTTCACATGAAATTTTGCATCAAAACTTTCAAATAAAATGCAGATTATTCTAAAAATACAAAAACACACTGTTCACCTGTACTACAGTTTTTTTTTTTCTTGGGTACATAATTACCATCTACCATTCACATAAACCCTAAGCTGACTTATGCTCATGACAGAATTTTGATACCGATAAAGTCTAGACATATAGCTCAGTTTTTTTTTCCAGATCTTGACAAATTGGACTTTCCAAGAGACCATTCTTAAAACTTTACAACAATGACATTCAACAACATATCACGTTACATTTGTTTCCAATAGCAAATTTTTAACCACAGTAACCTGTATAATACCATTACCTGCTGGCAACAACAACAACTGTTTTGATTCATGTCCACAAATTGCAAGTGATAGCTACTAAACAGAAGTCACCAAAGTATCAAACTATCCTTACCAGTGTTGTTAACCAAACATATTTAAAACATTACTATCACAGGTAATTAAGTGTTAATAAAATATAACTACTAAAATAAACAAAAACTTATAATATATGCTCCAAGCTGTTGCAACCAACAATTTAAGAACTTTTATTTGAACAAGTAACCTAACACACACACACACACACACACACACACACACACACACACACACACACACACAAACGCTTTAAATGTACTTCAAGACTAAGCTGAGATCGAAAACCAAAACACACGCAGCAGACTTACGCTAATAAACAGTGCGTGGGACTCACCTCGACAGGTCGAAACCAAAACACCCGCTAGCAAAAGCGCAGTTAAGCATTTATAAGACCTGGATGATGTTTCTCCAAAGGCTCAGTTGCTGTTAACAGTTTTAGATGTTCCTACATGACCGAGTCGAGGTTGTTTCCTTGTACTTCGCATGAAAGACTCATAGCTGTGTTAAAGCATGCGACCTCTCCTGGCAAAACAAACTCCAGGAGGAGAACAAAAGTTGATGTGCACGTGTCATGTTCACGTCACGTGCTCCAGCTGGGAACGTCTCTGGAAGAGAAAAGCCTTTGTTATACCACCAACCATTGATGTTACTCAGAGAGGAACATGAAAGAACCGGAAAGACAGTGGAAAACTTAGGACCGAAGCTGCACAAAACGAAACAATTAAGGAAACGACCTGGTGGGCTAATATCTCTAAAGTTTCAATATTTCAATCCCTCGAATTACTTATTAAAGCAAAGAAACCAAAGCAAAAACTATTAAAATAACACTTGTTTTTATTATATTACAAATATTCGGTTAACTGTCATTGCTAATCAAGATGTAATTTTGTCAAATTATGCAAAAGGTGTTATAGGCCTGAGATATGATGGAAATTACACTAAAAATTACAAATAGGCTATGACAAACTCACATGGTGCATGTATATGCACTCTTGCACATTGGTGGTTAACAAATTAAACACTATAGTGAGTATATATATCCTATTTATTTTTGCATTTATATATTTACATGGAGAACATGGACATGGATTCCAAAGCTGAAGATTTTGTTAAATCATCTTGTACTTTTGTAACATGAAGTAAATTTCAAGTAAATGTGTCACAAAAATGGAAACTATATATACTATATGTCTATAAACATAAAACACTCAAATAACACAAATGAAAAAGTCCACCACAGAAAAAGTTCATGGATAAATTGTTTGTTTTTAATGTGTTTTTATACAGTATGTCAGGAAGCAAGAGTTCTTAGAAAACTGTTGGAAAACTGTTCACATTGCCAAAGATACCACCGAGTAAGTGCATTTAACTACGTTATTGAGCCAAGTCATTAATTTACATTTAAGAAATGTAATTTTCTTCTACAGCAATCTCAAAATGTTCTGTGTTGTAACACTTATGAACTCTTTAATGTTTGAAATTGAAAGTCTGATGTCCATTTATTGTCAAACATAATGACATTAAAATACACAAAACATTCTTAACAATTCCCAGCTTGCAAAATGTATTGCAAAATTTAAAAATTGAAATACATTGCCATCAGCGTTTAAAACAAAACATATTACAACATAATTAAAATAAAATTGCAGGGGCAAAATAATCATTATAACAGAATTATTTACATTTGCCCATTACTTTTTTAAAGATTAATGCTGTAATTTGAAAATCTGCAAATTATTTCCATAACAACAGTATATTTTAACTTAAAGAAAGCTAAGCAAATATTATAGTAGAAAGAGTGTAATATGGAAAAAAAAAATATATATTTGAAAGCCAATCCTTCACACTCTCTTCATTCAATGATTTCACTTTACTTGTCTTTGGATACAACACTTAGTGTAATTATATTGTCACCTGAATCTCACCAGAATCCAGCTGGTTATGGTTAAGCTGGTTATGATCTTCCACAGTACTGTCATATTTGGGACAGATGAACTCAACAGGTTTCCAATGCGGTCTTCGTCCACTTCCTCTTTGTCGGAAAGGGGCAAACCGCAACCATTTCTTCACTACATCAGCAAACTGATGGTGTGTGGCCTCCTTTCCTACAGGTGTCCTCTTCAAGGCACCTGCAGAGAACAGAGTTAAAACAATCTTTCACATGAGGATCCTAAAAATATTGTCCTTTAAAGTGATAGTGGCCTGAAGTGAGACCCTTGAGCAAGGCACCAAACCCCCAACTGCTCCCTGGGCTCCGCAGCAAAAATGGCTACCCACTGCTCCGGGTGTGTGTTCACGGTGTGTGTGTGTTCACTACACTTCACATACTTGGCTACACATCACTTACTTCACTTCATTTCACTAAAGTCAGTGATAAACCTAAAGATGCAATTGCACTGAAACATGATTTTAATGACTGCTTACGAAATAAAACACCCTGCAGTCTGGTGTTTCTGAAGCTCCTTTTCTGTCCTCTGCCAACCCAGTTGAGCTCTGAGCCCACACTGAAAGAGAGAACAGCGTGCATAAGACGCCGGACCGCATCATCTACCGTAGTTCCGCCCATCCGTGAGAGGTGTGACACCTATGAAATAAAAATCAAAATATGAAGAAATATTCAGTACAGGTAAAGAAGGGAACAGTGTTACCAGAAAAGGTTTTTAGAAAGCAGTAAAAAACTAGAAACACAAGCAAACAATATTGTTCTAAACTGTTCTGAACTATTATTTTGGACTCAGATAAACAACTACCTCCATAAAATGTAAACTTCCTGTCCTGATTGAGGTTTACAAACTAACTTAACCTATTATTACATGCACTGCAGTAATTGTAGATTGTAGAGTAGATTCACAGTAATACTTTTTTACCATTCTCTTCTGAGCTTCAGCATCCTCTAAATGCTGCTCCGTTTCATCGAGCTGTTCCATTGTTCGCAGTGGCAGATCTATGTCAAGCGGCTCGTCTTCCTCCTCACACACCTGTCCATGAATCCTGGCCTGCAGGTCTTTCAGAACTTCCCACTGCCTCTGTTGCTCCTCCTTGATCTCAATTAGGAGCGATATGATTTGTCTATGGGCTGCTGCCTCTGTAGTTGTAAAAAATATAAAATTTAGAGAAGACTTACAGAAGACTAAAGGAATAGTTCACCCAAAAATGAAAAATTGCTGAAAATGTACTCCGCCTCAGGCCATACATAACATATAAGTTTGTTGTGATGTTTTTATCAGCTGGATGAACTCTCATTCTGAGGGCACCCATTCACTGCAGATCCATTTGTGAGCAAGTGATGTAATGTTACATTTCTCCAAATCTGTTCCAATAAAGAAACAAACTGTACTGTGAGTACTTAGCAAATTTTCATTTTTGGGTGAATTATTCCTTTCAAATTAAGCACTGATATCAAATCTGCTGCATCAGTTTCATTTGTGGAAAACAATGTTGCCAATAATAATAACGATGGTGGTGGCTTGTTTCCTAAATAACATTGCTGATAATTGTCAAAGGGTTTTATTAATATACATTTTTTATATGTCATTTATCATATTATCAGTCCTGAATTGTTTAGCACATCAACACGTTTAAAAAAAACTATTAACGTTAGCGATTTTTTTATTTGTATGTTTAATAAAATGATACCTAATCAACTAACTATCAACTAATACCAACTTTATCATAAAACTTAGTCTCAATTCAGAAACACAACCTGACAAAGTGTCATAATGATAGAAGGGAAGGTATGTGTAAGTCCGTTTCAAGGGAAACGTGATAATTTTTAATCTTTTGACTTTACAGTAACGTTACCTGATGATGAAGACGCGTCCTCGCGCATCAACTTTCTCGCCACTCCTGCAGGATTGAAGGACTGTGAATCCGCGCTGAAATTCACCTCGGCCCGCCCCGGGATGCCTTCTGCGCTTCTGCTCAGGTCTCCTGGCATAGAGTCCTCTTCAGACACAGCTGAGCGTCTCTGTGCCATGTCTGCCATGTGTTTACTTACTAAACCCTCCGCCCGGCGGTTTATGGTCCAGTTCACACGACTGACACTGTTTGGGTCCATTTATGTGGATGTATTTCTTCACTTACTAACAGCACTTTATGCGAAATTAAATCCTTTAACACGCATCTCTTGATAAACACTGCGATATGTGCGAGAAATATGCGGAAATGGTTATCAAGCTGTCCCCAGCCAGCGCACGTATCACGTTACACAAACGTCATAGCAACGTTGGCAGAACGTTGGGGATTTTGAATGAACTACAATCCCCACAAGCACAGCGGCCCGGTGACGTCACCCATTGCTGACAAGAGCGCAGTTACATTTACTTAAATCTCGACTTTTCCAATTTTGTTAACAAATATTTATATCCAAACTTTTGTATAACCCCAAAAATGTTGTTTTTTGGTTACTCTTTGAATTTAGACCCTTCTCACTGTAAATTTATTATTAATCTATTGCTATATCTTGCTAAATTTTACATTCATAAGTGTAAATTTTCAAAGAAAACTCCCTACTTTTTTATTTTCAGGAAAGATTTTGATGTGTATGTAAACTCTTTAAGAAACTCTAATAATTCTATTGCATGTAAGACTCTTTCATGGTGTAAGTCTTATAAGCTAACATAGTATGCTTTAGAGTATTGTTTGTAACCCTTATTGTCTTTTGTTCTTACTTGTCTTTGTAATTGTATTTGCTGTTCTTCTATTGCATAATAAAAAATAAAAAAAAACATTTACTTAAATCTCATTTTTGACTGAAGTACATCTGTGTAAATAATAAACCATAAAAGAGTATAATTTTGTACGACTATTAATGCTGATTACTATTATTATAATTCATTTATCTTTTTTTTGTGTTATTTGTGAAATATGGAAAAGCTGTAATTGTTGTAAATTAACCATGTAAATATTACTAAAAATAAACACATTTATTATTTTGTTATTCAGTTGTAAAGTTAAATATTAAAACATTTAAACTGCAGTAGATTAAGTTAGAATTAGTTTAAATATGCATTCTAAACTAAAGGATAGCTCTTTCTTTCTTTTACACACTCACTGATCCATGTTTTCATTTCAATGTCAGTGTGATCACAAATACAGTGAAACATGCAATCACAGACTGTGGAGGACACTCAAAGTGATTCTCACTATTTTAAAGCCTCATGAATCATATTGAAGGATCTAAGGATTCATTATAGCAAACTACAACAAAATTCATTGTAGTGTTGTGTTTTATTTCTTTAATATTTAGTTATTCTACATTTACTAATTCATGTATATAATCATTTATCATATAAGCATTTTTTATTTAATTTAATCATGTAATCATATATAATAATCATTTAAACCATTTATATATTAATTTCAATTATTCATTTATTGATTAGACATGTATATAATATTATTTTATATGATTTTCCCATTGTTGTTTAGTCTAATGTTTGTGTGGTTTCAAGGGATATTTGTGTTCATGAGTACAGAGATAAGAGAATGTTTCCATTTCAAGGTTTTTAACATCACAGGATGTTGTTGTTAAGCAGTAATTTTCCATTGCTGTTGCTTGTGGTATAACACTTGTTGGATTTGTGTTAGTTTAGACTTAACATTAAAATATACGGAACAAAGGTTATTCAATAAACTCTGCTTCTTTTTATCATCATTACTTCATCTCCTGCTTCTGCTCTTCTTTGGCTTTACTCTGTTAATACAGTTTTGGGTACCAGAGACAAGACTTGCTATTAACGGATTTTGGGTATTAGACAACTTTGCGGACTAGTTGTTTTGTTATCAGACAAAACAGTTATTTTCTGACAGGATCTAGTGTCCGGGGTTGGATCTGATATTTCTGGCGGGGAGGCATAATCTAATAATGTTTTGCTTTAAAATCAACTGATATCACCACTGGTATGGTTTGAGGTTTAAAAAATTGTATCTCCCTAAAGAAATTGCATTTATTAGATGCCTTTATACAGTGAAACCAACGTGTATACAGTATTTATGCATGCCATTATGGCTGAAATGACAATAAGCAAACAATAGTGTTTACCTCAGCAAAGATCATTTTAATTATGCTCAAGTAGCAAAAATGTACTCTGATATACAACTGAAACACCTGAACAAAATATTTTAGTACATAAAACCAACCACCATTCTTTTTATGATTCCTGAAATGCAGAAGACATCAGTCACTCAGAATGAAATGTCTAATTTATGCTTTCATTGGAGAATCAAAAGCCCAGCAGTTTTCCATTGAAAAAAAAAAAGAAAACAAAGAAAACATGCAATAATCTAAGAGGTCTAATTCCACTGCTGTCTGTCCAGTGCTCAACAATGTGTAATACTAATGAACATAAATAATTCCTTATTTTAAAATATCCCATGCGATTTAGCAAACCAGGGGTGTTTAATCAAACCCTCAACACAACAACAACAAAAACAAAATAAACAAATAAAGGACCCAAACATTGTATCTATGAAAATATAATATAACCGATATACAGGCAAAGACAAAAAAACATGAAGACATTTTCACGTATGTATAATTATGTACATCAGCAACGCATCACCCTATAAAAGTCACATTTTTGATTCAAATATGCCTGATTCCATAAAGAAATATCAGCAGACAAGAACAGGAAATATGAGGGAAACTTGTCTAATTGTGGGCTAATTGGTTGTGCATGCCCTCATTATTATTGTTATTATTATATTTGTGCATACAAATGAGCAGCAGCGCTTTGATTTCCAGAAGTGATGATCATTGAATCTTTAGATTAGTCTGGCTGATATTACAACTATAAACATAGGCATTAATGTACCACAATCAAAGCAGCAGTTTTCGTAGATTTTAGAACATTAAGAGTTGCAGTGAAAGCCAATTTAGTTGCATCTCAAAGCCTCTTTTTTTTTACTATCCTTAATATTGAGCATAGAGTGCACAAACTCTGTTAAACCTTACTGAAATATTTAAGTAGCATATATACGACTCAAAGAATGTGATGTTTCATGTTTAGGATTTACAAGAAAAAATACAAACACAGTAATTAATTAATCTAAACATTATTGCATTTCCTGAACAAAACTTGCATTAAACCCTGCCTTCCCGATGTTTTTCTTATAATACCCTGCTTTACGAAGAAGAAAATAATAGACTAACAATCTTCAGCATCCAAACACAGCTTGTACGCTCTACTTGGATTACACCTAGCTTATATTATCAGGAATATCACATTGCTTAAACCCTAGACCTGCTGTTGCATTTTTGGAAAGTAAACTAGGCCTCAATGTCTATTACGAGTGATACAGAAAACGAAATGTCCATATTTGCTAATATGCTACGCCAAACCTAGAGAAAAAAATATCCAAGTAGCAAAAATGTACTCTGATATCTGAATAATATCTGAATTATTCACTGTATAATATTTTTTTACATCATTGAAAAGAATGCCTTTAAACATGATTTTAAACATGCTAAGAGTACTCTGACGGTAAGCTGACAAATTTGTTTTATGATCTAAAGAATACATATATGCAGATTAACTTGAAGCACACTCGACAGACTTTTAAAAGCAGAAAACATTTCTAAACATTTTGCGTTACAAAATACAAAGTTACTTTTGTGATAAAAATACTTTGCCGCAATACTCTTTCAGATATGTTTCTAAGTCATCTAAATTCTATTCTTAAAATATGACAAACAATTAGACACTCAGTATCAACCAGTGCGTAAAACACTAAATTTCCCTGCAATGTGCCTTCAGACTAGAAAACCTGCATGAAGTTGCTAACTAGACTAAAACAGTCCATAGAATCGCTACTTTGTCAGCTCACTAAAAACCTCTGTTAGGAGAAAAAGTTGCATCCACATATTGTGCCACAGTTAAAAGCTTACAGCTGTGATGCATTATGGCGGTGTCTTTTTCAAATCCCCAGAACCAGAAGCATACAAAACAAAGTATTTAAATAGTCATTCTAAAAGAAGGGCAAGAAATGAGCCCCGGACACATCAGCATAAAGAACTTCTGAAAAAATCCATATTATTCACTGCATCCTTGGAAATTAATTCTGATCCTTGTTCTGCTGAGAAAAAAAAAATCCTTGATAAACTCTAAGATTAGAGCGGCATGCTAAGAGAAAAATGACTTCACCCTTTTCTAGAGCAAATTTACATCTACGATTTGACTTTGAAACAGTCTTATCAACGTTACATAGACGTTAGCTTCATTTTACCAGGACACGCTCCTGCTAATCAGCTTCTTAGGTTTGTGGCTGACTCACTCCATTCACTCTAAACAGGGATCTTAAACGTCAAAACAGTTAAGTATAAAATATATATATATATATATATATTTATATATTTTCCCTTACTTGCCTGCCAATGTTTTGAGTGTTCAAAAATTCTTTACAATTATCTCTGATGTCATGTCACACCGATATCAAATAGTAGAAACTGTTTTACACATCAATTCAAAGGTGCATCTAAAAGGGTGCAGAATATTCAGCGATGAAGGAGAAGGAATCCAGTAGAAAAGGCTGACACATAAGCTCTGAAGGACAAAACGGCGTAGCCTGGCTGAAACTCTTCTTTGGGACAGCTGTGGGTTGGTTTTGTTTCAGTACGTCATAGGAAAGTAATGTGTATAAATAGTGTTCAATAAATTAATAAATAAACCTTTCTCTGTTTCAGTATATACAGAGTGTTAAAGACAAAAGAAAGTTCATAAACACATTTATAGAAACCCCATGTATCACACAAGAGTATTGTCTCACTGAACATAAATATGTTGGTAGTAGCGTTCCAACATGTATCTCCACACAGGCACAAACAAATGCCCGCTGTCTCTCTAAAAGCGACAGTTTTTTGACTGAAATTGGATCTGATCTTAAACCTTTCGTTTTATTACCTCCTCTGCACCGTAAACGTATTCTCACTGGAAAAACGTAGACACTAATGACCCTGATGTCCGGATCAATCTTGTGATGTGAAGGTGAATTGCCCAAATTTAAAAGAGGACTGCTCACAAGTATTTCCTAGAGGTCACCAGTAGCTTTCAGCAAAATAATGAACCCTCATAAATCTATCATTTTACTGATATGAATAAGTCCAGCCTCTCCTTCAGTCAATTAGCAGCTAACAAAACAAATGCCATCATAAAATACATTAACATCATATTCTTTAAATATGTAATATGCAAAATATATAAAAAAAGGTATTCACATCAAACCAGGCAGTAGTCATCTTTTCCCATGTTCCTGTCCCGTTAGAACAGTCTATATATCAGTCAACAGGACCATTCTTCACACACATCCTCTCTCTCCTCTTGTAACACCACAGACCCAGAGACTCTGTCAATATTGCACCCATTGGAAAGAAAAGAGAGGATCAATAGAGGATCAGCTAGATCAGTAAATAAATATTCCATCAGAACGAGAGCCGGTCTGCTTCTGATCGAGGACTTGTGCCATTGTCCTCACAAGGTCAAGGAGGGAGGGCCAAGAAAAGGAACCGTCTCATTCCTCGCGGCAGGTGGGCAGATTGACGAAGGTGAATATGTTGAACTCGATGAGGATGGAGAAACACAGGAAGACAGCGTACATCAGCAAACAAACGAAACCCAAACGCTTGTCCAGTTTCCACTTGTTCAAATGTACACCGAGAACCTGAGAGGGAAAGAAAGGGTAGAGGGTGAGAGGTGGATTCAAATGACATTTTGAAAAAAGTGCATTTAAATGCTTCTCACATACCGTGAGAAACACAGATGCCAGCAGCAGCACAACTGAGAAAATCAGGCCTTTACTGTTCAGGTGAATCTGGAAAGAAAAAATATGTTAGAACTTTTAGAATGTAGAACATGTATGTAACAAGTATATAAATAAATACAGCAAATTATTTCAAACAAAGCCCAATGTTTATCCTACGGAGACTCAAAATGTGTATTCAATTTAGGCCAGAGGTAGACAAACATATACAGACTCTTGAATGACTATTTTCTTTTTGTGTCATTTTTTGTGCCTGCTTCCTGACATGTCACTAATGCAAAATATTTTTCATTTTCAATATCATCTGTTATTGGATATTTAATTGTTTATACTTTTTTATATTTAGATATGTTTGACATCATGTAACACTCAATTAAAGCTGGTCTTTAAAAACACTAATAATTTAAAAAGACTGATAAATGTAATCTTGAGCAAATCTCAAAATGAATAGCCATTTTTCAAACTTATTTAGACAAAATAGTATAGACTTTTACTAACGGCCATTCATTCATTATTGGGTATAACATAAAAATAATTGGCAGTGGCAGCACATCCCTAATATTCTAAAACCATTTACCTTACACTAACAAACAAGAAACCATTACTATAATATTATGTTTATATTGATATGCAATTTTTAAAAAATATATATATGTTATTAAGAGCTGCAATCAAAAGACTTGTTCTTAAAGATATGTTTTGTTCACAATTTTTACTTGATTCAAATATTGTAGATTATATTAAAATATTAAGTCATTTTGAACCACTGCTCTAAAACGATCTTACCTAATGGGCTACTGCTACTGACAGGTTCTGAGTGCTATTACAAAAGCACAAAACCATCTACAAACAATAATCAAACAAAGAACACTGATTTTTCATTATTTCTATGTCAATGCTTTTTAAGCATTTACCAAACAAATCATTAAACAATAATCTCTATTACAACATTTTCCACTTACTGTGGAGCCATAGTCGATGGCTAAAGTCTGGAGGGTCCAGGGAAGACCAAGCCCAATCAGGATATCAAACACATTACTACCAATAGAGTTAGAAACCGCCATGTCACCCATTCCTGAAAAAGATAGAGAGACCGTTGAGACTAAAACTGAAACTAATATACTAATACTTTCATTTCTGCTTCAGTCTTAAATGAGGAATTGACTGCTGACAAGATGGGCTTTCAATAAAACTTGGTTGCCTATGCAGTACAAACTCTTAAAAAAACAAAAAATCAGTGCTACATGAAAAAACAGAACAAAAAGGCCTGTGGTGTTCCCTTTTGTCACAAACTTCAAAACCCATAATGCACTTTTCTGTATAAATCGCGTTTCAAATGGTGCGTTCAAGTCATGTCGGATAGATTCTATTTACGAGTTGAACAATCGATGGATGCAACGTCTGTAGTTGACGGTAAATTTTTGTTTAAATTGATAGTTTAGTTGTCCTATAAACTTAAATTGGTCATGTTCTTGTTACGCAGCTAGTTAATGAAATCCAAGTAAAAAAATGCAGACCCTGTTGTATTTTCTTGTAATTTATTAAAAGAAGGTACACCGCCATCTTGCGCCGACTAAACTGACTTGAACGCACCTGACGTCGTAATTACGACTTGTCAACTCGTAAGTACGAACGTCCCAGGAGGACTTGAATGCAGCAAAACTCCCGCCCAAACTTCCGAAGGCCCAATCAACCATAACGACACGCCCCGTTTTTATAGCATTAAATTACTAGCTAAAATCAAACTTATCACAAAAACGAACAATTGAACATATATCAGCGTGATAACAACTACCTTAAATGACCAAAACGGAAAATCATTCGGAAAATTGTATTGGAAGTGTAATTTATTGTTTTATTTTGACTCAAGTCCCATTCGTTTACATGGAGAGGGCGGGGTTTATGACCTGTACTGCAGCCAGCTACCAGGGGGCGATCAACGAGCCCGCAGCTTCACTTTTCAGGACGTGTGAGGCACACCCAAATTTAATCATTTAATTGGGCAAATGATAATAAATAATAATGCTAGAGCATGAAGAAATATTAATTTGTTCCTACCTTGCCGTGCAACAATTAAACTGGCCAAACAGTCAGGAACGCTGGTGCCAGCAGCCAAGAAAGTTATGCCCATGATGACATCAGGGATGCCCATTGTGTAACCGATCACTGTGACCTGCCACGAGAGTGTCAACAGGTCACTGAACGTTTGTAGAAAATAATTAATACGTTTAAGAATTTCTAAAGTTAATATATGTGAGGAAAGTCTTACCATCCAAACCATGATGTAAGAGAAGAAAGCAATCCAGAGGGTGGAGATGATGAACGAGACCATATACCAGCGCTCCCAGCGAGGCGTGGAACAGTTGGGCACGGTGAGGAACAGCAGCAGACTCAGTGGCCAGGCCAGCAGCCACTTTAGCTTATTAAAGCCTCCACCTGCACATGATCAGGACATCATTTGAGTCATTAGTCTTTTAACAGACACTTTCATTCAAAGCAGTTTACAGTACACCTCCTGTCAGGAACACTTACTGTTTATGGACAACCAGAATTTAACCTAAAATTATTTACAATAATCAATATTTTTTATCAATCGTCTGTAATAATTGTACCGGGGCAGCGGAATGGTACATAGGGTCCTTCGTTGTCATCTTCCTCCTCTTCCTCTTCCTCATCGTTCTCATTGTTTTCATTGTCCTCGTTTTCGGTGTCAGTGCCAGCTTCAGCTCCTCCCCTGTCGTCATCATGGTGACCCCCCTTTCGCCCGTTCAGGCCTCGGTCCGGTCCTGCCAGCCCATTCTCCACCCCACACTTTCCTGGGATCTTTACGGTCACCTCTGAGTCCCCATTACTGAAACGACTGTTTATCAGACGCTGCCTCTGCAGAAACACAAACACACACATTAGTCAAGTTAACAAACAGAATAATAAATATTTCAGTCTGTAATACAGATAAAATGAATAACCCCTTAAGGTAATTGTGACTTTATTTCTCACAACTGTGTGATGTTTACATATTTATACCCCAATTGTGACTTTATTTCTTATTTTAACCTTATCTCACAATTACCATTTTTTCTTTCTTTTAGATTCTTTCTATTCATCAAAGCATCTTGAAAACTGTATCACTGTTTCAAAAAATTTTATTCAAATAGAAAACAGTTGTTTTAATATTGTAATAAAAATAATATGTAATAATATTTCATGAGAGAGTTCTTTCAAAAACATTTCAAAACCTACAAAATTTAGCTGTACTTTTGTTTAACATTGTATGGAATCTAGATATGCATCTAGTTTTGTGTTTGACATAACTGTATTTGTAAAATTGTGCATGTGTTTGTGTGACTGACCTCTGTAATAAGCATTCTGGAGGCCATTGTGAGGCGTGTGCGAGGGGAGAAGTGACTGGTGATCATGATTCTCATTCCGGCCTCAGAGAAGGAAAACTGTATCACTGTTTCAAAAAATTTTAAGCAGTACAACTGTTTTCAACACTGATAATAAGAAATGTTTCTTGAGCACCCCATCAGCATATGAGAATGATTTCTGAAGGATCGTGTGACACTGAAGACCCAGTGTTATTTTTAATAAATGATTATAGTTTTTATTAATATTATGTAAGTTTGTTTTTTAATTTTCTGTTTCCATTTTAAATTTTTTTTATAAAGTTTTATTGATTTTGTTGTGTGTTTTTGCCATTTAAAAAAAAATGTCTATATATATTTTTTAGTACTTAGTTATGTTAATTAAACCAAAAAAAAAAGAAATATTAATTTATTTCAGGTAAGGAAAATAGTTTTTTTTTATGGTTTTAGTTTTAGTTTTAATTTTAGTTTAAGTCGACAATAATAACACTGTGAAGATTGGAGCTTTGCCATCGCAGGAATAAATATATATATTTTAAATATATA